TCAACTTTAGGAAGAGGCCTCTCAATCTAGCCAGATCCTGGAAGCCTCAAACACCCAGGATACAAACCCTTCCCTGCCCCTCACCTTGAATAGCTCATCTGAGGATCTCAGAAGGCTGCAGCTGCCGCGACTCACCTCCGAGGCTCCCCATCTGTACCTTGTTGGGACACGAGAATCACCTGGAGACCTGGGCTTCCCCCAGACCAACTCTGTCAGTCTCTGGGCCCGGAGGGCCCAGGTACCAGGTGTTCAGCGCTCCTCATGTGATTCCAATGTGTATCCAAGGCTAAGAACCATTGACTTAAGTCAGAAACCAGGCCTGTGGGGAAGGAAGGCCAAATGCCCCATAATACCTGCCACCTGCTGAGGGCACTTAAGGCTGACCAGGCGGCTAGAGGCTCAGGCTCCCTGCCCGGTGAGTGACAAGTGGGTGCCAGCAGCTCCTGGTGTGGCCGTGGTGCCCCAAGCCCGCTGTCTAGGGACTGATCAGACACCTTGCTCTCATTCAGGTAATGACCATGAAGCTGTTTGGGACCCTGGTGAGGTGCCCTGGTCTTGCCCCACCCCTCTCCATCCCCCCACCCCCAGCCAGTGGCTTGCCAGGAGGAATGGCTCCCAGACAGAGGCTGGGCCTCTCCTTGTTGAATCAGCCTCGGTTTACAGAACTGTGCTGCTCAGGGGCTCTTGGCTTGTTTCTGGGATGGGTAAGGAGGATGTGACAGGTGCCAGGTGCCCATGACTCCACAGAGCCCAGGTGGGGGTTTGCAGGGTGTGTGGAGCCATGCGTACCCACACAGCAGCCTGTGGGTCTGTGTGCCCTACGCCTTTGCTTGTGTTCCTCTCCTTGAAACATCCCTCAGGACATGGTCACCTCTGGGAATCGCCCACCCAACTCTGTCCCCTTCCACAAAGCCTTCCCAAGCTTTGGAGGTGGGATCACCGGGAAAAGAACCTGGTCTCCTGCCTCCTCCTCTGCTGGGACACCTGCCTCCCCTCTGGGCCAGCATGAGCTGCGGAGGGAGGCCCGGCAGTGCCTTTTGCATCAAACGTGGCGTCTGTGCCTGTCTTGTCTATGTTGGCAAAACCCTGTGGGAGCCAACAAATGCTGAGGTGGGGTCCTGTTCCCACCCCAGGGTCCCACCCCAGGCAGTGCCCGCTTGCAGACCTGTGCACCTTGGAGCAGAGGTCAGCTCAGCCCTTCCTGGGGAATAAGGCCTCACTCCAAAAAATATTCCTCTTTAGTTTAAAACAAACCCCACTTTGAAGACGTGTTTGTTAGTGATGTATATCTGAACATACTGATGTGAAAATATGTCCACGGTACAGGCATAGTGGACAAATAGGCCCCCAAACTGTATATCAGGATCCTTTCCTGTAATGAGCTTCTCGGAGCACATGGAGCCCTGGGGCCTGCAGGGGGTGGTGTGACTATTTAAAGGTTAACTTAGAGGAAGAGTGAGGTTATTGGGAGTTAATGCTCAACACATTGCTGAAGTGTGTTAATTTAAAATCAGAAAAGACTGCTTTAGAGAAGCCAACTCGTGGATGATGAGATATATATATATCTTAATTTAACACAGCTCTCCGTTCATGAAACATGCTCACAAGTCAAAGATTGGCTACATCTAGAAAAGCATAGAAAAAACCCAAAATGGCTTGTAATGCCCTAACCAGAGAAAGGGACTCAGGACCATTAACAAGTCTCAGCCAGGGTCCCTTAGCTAGGCTTCTGCCACCTCACAGCCAAGGCGGGGTCTCAAAGTGTGGGGAACAGCAGAGCTGGCCTGAGGCTGGGGTGTGTGTGTGTAGATAAAGCCCCTAAGTTGGTGATGTTGGCCTAAAGAACCAGCTGGGCTTTCTCTGAGCTCAGACTCAGAGAAGCTGCGGGTACAGGATGACATGGTAGCTGGCTCTCCTGGACGCTTCAAATAGCAGCGTGAGGAGAAAGAAGCACACATTGAGCTGTGACTAGAGAAGCCTGTGAAAGCCAGAAGGATTTGCTTTGCAGCTGGCTTTGCAGAATGTCCCCCAAATGAAGTGGTTTGGCCAAGCCCATGACTTCAAACTGCTCCCTCAAGATGCCTCAGGGAGTGGGGAGGACCTCCAGCGATCTGCAGCTGAGCTCTCTCTACTTATGCCATCTCATACTAGCCTTCCACTTGATATTTGATTTGGAGGGAGGTGGCAGCCATCTGAACCCCTGGATCCACTTCCAAATTTCCTTATGGCCATACCTTCTGGAATGCGGCAGAAGGATGAATGGTTCCCATAGCAATGGTCCTAGAACTAGGCATTGCTTTGGGTGTCTCCGGAAGCAAAAGCATTTTATCTGCTTCTACCAAACTGGCCTCTCATGCACATTCAGAGAGTCATGTAAGCTGAGCTTGTTTTGCTACTTACAGTGGGTGAGACAGCCTTGAGGTGGCAACATATAACAGGACACTTGCGTGGTAGCCTCCATAGTTTCCATGGCCTAAAACACGTGCTTTCCTAGTTTCCAGGATCTCACCCCATGTGTTAATGCCATAGTGGTGACTTGGTGGTCTCCTAATCGATCTTGTTACAGTGTTGGCTGCAAAGCTTAGTGGCCTACTCACAGCGTGCACACAGGAATCAGGCAGACCTGGGCAGAAGTGCTGGCTCTGATGTGTGACAGCTATGGGAACTCCGGGGCTCTATGGCACATGATGTCTAGTATGGTTTCCCCACCTGCAAAATGGGACTATCTCTACCTTTCTATTAATGTTGCTTCATTTAATCCTAAGTGTCCAACAGTCCTGGCATGTAACTATTGTGTTTTGGCCATTGCTCCCTGAAATAGTCCCAGAATACTAGTCTACTCCAGACTTATAAAATGCTATATGTCGTACCTCTTGGAAATGTAGGATATAGCTTCTCATTAAACTCTAACCTCGGATCCCAACTGATAATCCTCTTGAAACTGGTTATTACAGCCTCTTCTGAGCTGGTGTTTTAAAGTGTGTTGTAATTAATAGCAGTGATTTACCTTTTGCTCATTAAAAGCAACTCTTCCTTATGGGGCAGAATTTGAGTTTACTTAAAAGTAGGTGAAAGGATAGGACACGGTTACTCTCTGGCCTGATGTTGCAGGGCTAAAATTGTCCTGCAATATAGGTCTCTCTTTCTGATGTGTGGTGGGAGGTAAAACCGCTTCCAGCTTGAACTTTTAATTGAACTAACCTAAAACCTAAAATTGTCTTAAGCCAGCTTCCATGAGGTGCCTCCCCTGCTTTAAACACATAGCCACTGAGGGACCATGGATGTCACTGAGGTCCCCTCTACATGGGGGGTGGGGTGGCGATGGGGGAAGTGGCCAACACGACCCTGTTAACTAAATGGTTGAAAGCTTCCTTAGGGTTCCTTTGAACCATTGAATCACTGCCCTCCTCCCCAGATTGGGCTGTGCTGGTGGTTGTGGAGGGTGGGGGATTCGTCAACTCCAGGAAGTAATTGGCATTTCCCATTTGCGGATTTTCAAACAAGTTGTAGACTATTCTTGCCTAAGCTCCTAAGGAGACTAATGCTTTAAAACAGGCAAAGCCACTACAATGAAACCTCAGCCTCCGATGACGTGTTCTCCTGTCTTGCTGTGGCTGACTGGTAGCGCTTTTGCTTGGGGACTTGTCCCTGGCCTTGTAGCTACTGGTACTGGAAGTGTCTTTGATACTATATTCTGTTCTGTCTCAAATTCCATTTTTTCTCCTGGTCTCTTACTGGTTCTTCATTCTCTTGGGCCCTAATCAGTGTCACCAAGCCTCCATTCTTGTTCTGGTCTCACATAGAGCTCATCTCCTTAGACATCAGTCTTAGTTCTCTGCTCATGAAATTCTCCAAGTTGTCTACACGATCCCTTCCAAACTGACAGGTCTAAATTAGTCATTCCTACCCACATCATTCTCAGCTGTTGTACACTCAATAGAGTCAATAGACTCTGGTCTTTATCTAGCTTTCTCTTTTCCATAAGGTAGTCTGGCCCATTCTGTATACTTGGAAACAGACAGATATTTATTATGCACATGTAAGTAATGTCATTCTCTGCTGCCTTGTAGAAAGTTCAAATCTGGCCTGATATTAATAATCTTTCATTGGGGGCCAACTCCCTTTGTGACCTTATCACCCACCACCCTCATCCAACAAATATGTGAGTACCTACTTACTATATGCCATGCTTTGTGAAGAGGCCAAGAAATCATACCTAGGACACACATGGTCCTGTTGTTTTGGGGAGTAGGGGAAGGAAGACGCACAAGAAACAAAGTATTGGGTGGTAATAAGAGTTGTTGGAGAGGAAGTGGGCTGGGGCCAGCTCACTCAGGGCATCACAGGGAGCTTGAGTGTTCTTCTAAGGTCAGTGGGCCTCCAGTAGAGGGTTTTTAAGTGGGGAGAATTACATGATCAGAATCTTTTCTCTAAAAGATCACATGGCTTCTGTGTAGAGAAGAGATTGGAATAAGGCAATGGTAGAAGCAGAAAGAATAGCTGGGAGGCAATTGCAGTAGTGTGGATGAAAGATGATGATGATGGCCTGGTCCTGGGTGGAGGCAGCCTACCGAAGAATTAAAAGGAGTGGGTCATACTTGAGACTGTCCTGACCCAATGTGCTGGTAGGTTGGGTGTGGGAGGAGAGGGCCATCTTCCTATCATAGTCTGGTTGGGTTCCACCATCCTGCTCTGTACAGAACTCCTTGGAGACAGTCATATGGAAGGGTTCAGTGCTTTACTTCCAGCCTATCCTAGCCTGGTTCAGGCTAAATGCCTTTGAGATTTCCATTCCTCCTGCAGCCCAGGACTGGTCCCCTCTGAGCTCCCACAGTGCTCGTCACCTACTGAGCTGGCATGTCGGTGCCTATGGAAGTGGACTTCCTGAGTCTGCTCTCCATTCCACTGTAAGCCCTTTAAGGGCTTAGAAACTGATGGTCTTCATATAGTAATCCACACACTAGGCCCTGAAAATCTCTTTTTAATGGTCCTATTTACAGGTGGTTTACTTCTGCCAATCAACATGCCAACTTTAGAAGCTTCAGAAGAGAGGCAGAGAAAATTTAAGTACCGAGGCAAAGATGCATCTGTGAGTATAAAGCAATTCCCTCACTCTGTCAAGGACCAGGACAGTAGGAAGCACAGGGTTGAAATACATTAAAAATGGAGTGGAAGGTGGTGGGGGTGCAGGGAGAAGAGAATGACAAAGCAAAGTGTTCATTGTACATAGGTGCGTGGGTATTCACCAAATAGTTCTTTCAACTTTTCTGCATGTTTGAAATTGTCATAATTAAAAAATTGATGGTGAGGAGGACAAAAACTCAAGAACTTAAGAGTCAGGCAACTATGCACTAAAATCAAGGTGTCCATGTGATCCTGAACCTGTTAACTCAGAGCTTAAGTTTCTTCATCTATAAAACAGGGCTGATACCTGCCTCTTAGGGATTGGATAGCAGCATCAAATGCCTGGCATACAGGTGCTTACCTGCAGCCACTCACGTCCAGGAGGCTTCCCAAGGAGCTAACAGGTTTGGAATACACTAGGACCAACAAGCGTGCCTTGCAGAAATAGGACTTGGAATTGAAAAGTCAAGACTGTTCTTCCAGCTGCTAGGCTGAGCACAAGAGCAGGAGCAGGGAGCCTGTGCTGTGTGTGGATTCTAACTCTCATTCAGTTTCTCTGGTCTCAGTTTTCTGGCTCTAGCTCTGGGTACTAGATCTATGTATCTTGACAGTCATATCATACAAGGTTGGGTACATCTTGGGAATCTGATAGGCAGCTGCGGACGAGAGAGGCACAAGGTCACACAGCTAGCAGGGAGGATACCACCCAGAGCCAAATCACTCTTACACCCTTTCCAACAAGCGTGGCAGTCTGGCTTCCAAGCTCACTACAGATGAAAGGAGACCAGTTAGAACAAAGGAACTGAACCCTCTCTGTGGAGAGCAATGGGCAGGGCCAGGAGGTGAGAAGGGCGAATCCACAGGGAGGGGACACTTAGTGATGGGGCAACAGTTCAATGGGCTCCCTGGGCCCCCAGATGTCCCTGAGTTGCCAGATAACACCATAATGGCACTGTTTTCAATCAAGAAGGATACGGCTTGTTGAAGGAACCAGAAGTATCTAATACATATAAACTTCCTTAAATTAATACTTAAGTCTTTAATCTAAAACTCATCTATCCATATAGGTCAGATCATTTCCCGAGGATTCTCAAAACTACAGTGTCTGAATTTCACTTGCTTTAAGGAGAAAAACATAATTTTTTTTCTGATTTGTTTTAATCTCCCTCAGTCTGGTGTCCAAGTAAAACTCTTGGGACTGGATCAAGATTTGAATGACCCAGAGAGTGATTCCCTAACAGAGACAATGGTTGGGGAAATGTGGGCTGGGGTGTCCCATTCAGAGCCCCACAGTTGGAAGGCCCAGGCCTGCTCTTCGGGAACTAATCAGCACCAGTGATGATGTGCCCAGACTCAGGGCGACGGGAGGCTTTGCTCAGATGTCCCCACAGCTGAGAATAGTGGGCTGCCAAGGGTGTCCGTGACCTTCCTTTACTTGGGGAGGAAGGTTGACCATTTTTCTAGACGTAGTGTAGTAGGAGGAAGCAGAGGAGGTAAACCGAGCCGAGACTATTTACTGGCTGTGTGACCTTAACTCTTCCAGCCTATTGCATCTGTAAAATGAAATCCGGTGCTTTGAAGCACATGCTGAAGGCTAAATGGGGTAACAGACTGACTTCCCAGCTCTAAGGGCTCCAGCGCTTGCTTGCTTGCTTTCCCTCCCTAGATGCGGCGGCAACAGCGGATAGTGGTCAGCCTGCAGCTCCGGAAGGCCAAGAAAGACGAGCAAGCCTTAAAGAGAAGAAATATCACCAGTCTCTCCCCTGACCCAGCTTCTGAACAACCAACCAAAGGGGTATGTTGGAACGTGGCGTTTAGAGCAGTTATGTGTAAAATATATCCTTAGTAAGTTTCTCCGGCTTGAAAATGTTTGATTCAGAACTTGCAAGCTCTAATTGAGGGTCTTGAAGGAAAGCAGTGGAGAGATCATGGTTAGAGTTAAACTGGTGTTGTCTGAAAGCTAAGGGTTGTTATCTTTGTGGCTGTGAGTCTGGGATCTGTGTTCTAATGGGAAGGTGCTACTTCTAATAGAAAATTCACTTGCCACCACTCAGCGGGAAACAGGAAATGAGGGTCACTAAGGTTATCTCACCAGAGGCACCTCCTCAAGATACCTCAAGACTTGCCTAGGACTTGACTGCTTCCCTCTGTCTTCCTTCTCCATCCAGCTAAACTCGCTCAATACAAATCTGGGGTTGACTTCAGGGCCAATACCGTTTTTTGTTTTTTTTTAAATCCTTTCCAGAATAACCTGCCCAGGAGGTTTCCCTTCTTAGAACTCCAATAGTGTTCTATCTACATGCCTTTTCTGATCCACTACAGTCTGTGTCTCACTTTAACTATCCACTCTGCTAGGCTTAAGGCTCCTAGAGAGCAGAGATGGGTGCCGCTTGGGCAGGTGGACCTGAGGATGTGTTACTGGCCATGGAACAGAGTGACTGTAACCATTCTCTAAATTGCCGCAGGACAGCACCATATCTCTACTTAGCTTCATTTGTCTAGAATGGTCCCTAAGAGGCCCCCAACCCAAGGAGGATGAAACTGTGAAATGAAAGAGTTGTTTTCCTTTCTATCCTGTACTAGCATGCCTTTAAAAACAACTAATTCATGTACCACAGAATTCACCCTTTTAAAGTACATAGTCAGTGTTTTTTAGTATATTCACAAGGTTGTGTGACCATCACCATTAGCTAATTTCAGATAATATTCATCACCTTAAATGGAAACCACATACCCTTTAAGGAGTCACTGCTCAAGTCTCTGGTGACCCGAATGTACTTTACGTCCCTATGGATTTACCTGTTCTGGGTATTTTCTATAAATGGAATCTTATACTATGTGGCCTTTTGTGCCTGGCTCATTTTGCTTAGCATCATGTTTTCAAGGTTCAGCCATGTTGCAGCATGTATCATTGCTCCATTCCTTTTGTGGCTAAATAATATTTCATTGTATGGATAGACCACATTTGGTTTATCCACTCATTAGTTGGTGGACATTTGGGTTGTTTCCACTTTTTGGCTATTTCAAATAATGCTGCTATAAACATTTATGTACAAGTTTTTATGTGAACATGTTTTCTTTTTATTTATTTATTTATTCATTTTATTGGGGAACAGTGTGTTTTTCCAGGACCCATCAGCTCCAAGTCAAGTAGTTGTTTCAATCTAGTTGTGGAGGGTGCAGCTCCGTGGCCCATGTGGGGATCGAGCCGGCAACCTTGGTGTTATGAGCACTGAGCTCTAACCAAGTGAGCTAACCAGCCGCCCCTATGTGGACATGTTTTCAATTCTCTTGGGTATATACCTATGAGTGGAATTGCTGGGTCATATGGTAATGCTATGTTTAACTCTTTGAGGGACTACCTGTGCTAAGCTGAATAATGGGCCCCCAAATGACTCCATCTCCTAATCCCCAGAACCTGGGGATGTTACCTTGTATGACTAAAAGGTCTTTATAGACAATTAAGGATCTTGAGATGGGGAGATTATGCTGGATTATCTGATGAGTCCAGTGTAATCACATCGATCCTTATAATGAGAAGGATGAAGGACAAGTCAGAGCAGAAGGTGATATGATGAGGGAAGCAGAGATTAGTGGGCTGTGCTTTGAAGATGGAGGGAGGATGTCACAAGCCAGGGAACACAGGCGGCCCCACTAGAACCTGGAAAAAGGCAAGGAAACAGTCTCCCCTCAGAGCCTCCAGGAGGAACCATCCCTGTTGACACCTTGACTTTAGTCCAGTGAAACTGATTATGAACATCTGACCTCCAGAACTGTGAGAGAACAACATTGTGTTGTTTTAAGCCACTAAATTTGTGGCAATTTTTACAGTAGCAATAGGAAACAAATGTGCTGCCAAACTTGTCCCAAGTAGCTGCACCATTGTATTCTGACATTCTTACCAATACTTTTTATTGTCTATTTTTAGATTATAGTTTCTAGTGGGTGCAAAGGGCTATATTGTTGTGATTTTGATGTTTTTCTAATGACTAATGATGAAAAGCATTTTTTCATGTGCTTATTGGCTATTTGTAAATCTTTTTTTTTTTTAAGATTTTATTGGGGAATTGGGGGAGGGGAACAGCATTGGGGAATCGGGGAAGGGGAACAGACAGGTAGACAAATTGCTGGTTTGTTCTTCAGTCTAGTTGTGGAGGACGTCGCTTCACTGGCCCATGTTGGTATGATCATTGCACCCCTACTGGGTGAGGCAATCAGTCACTAGTCATTGGTTGGCCGCTCACAGTGGCTCACAGCAGCTCTCCCCCGCTGCCGGCCACTCACGCTGGCTGCCAGCCACTCACATAGCTCACAGCAGCCCATTGCAGCAAGGGCTGCAGCCCACGCCATTGCTGGCAACTCACAACAGCCCAGCTCCAGGTTGAGCTGTTGTTCATCATCTTAGCTGTAGAGGGCAGTGTCACTGGCCCTCATGTGGGATCCAAACCGGGGCCCTGCTGCTCAGAGCTGGCGCTCCCAAGCGAGCTCTTAACCAGCTGAGCCACTTGGCCAGCCCTGTAAATCTTCTTAAGAGAAGTGTCTATTCAAACCATTTGCCCATTTTCTAAATCAAGGAATTTGTCTTTTTATTGTTGAGCTGTGAGAGTTCTTTATATATTCTGGATACTAGACCCTTACCAGATATATATGATTTGCAAATATTTTTTCCCATTCTGTGGGTTGTCTTTTCACTGTTTTGATAGAATCCTTGAAGCATAAAGTTTTTAAACTTTGAAGCAGTCCAGTTTATCTACATTTTTCCTTGGTTGCTGTGCGTTAGGTATCATATCTAAGAATCCATTGCCTAATCCAAGGTCTTGAATAGTTACCTTGTGTTTTCTTCTAAGAGTTTTATGGTTTTAGTTCTTCAGGTCATTGGTCCATTTTGAATTAGTTTTTGTAAGTGGTGTGAGTATGGATCTAATTTCATTGTTTTGCATGTGGATATCCAGTTGTCCCTGCACCACCTGTTGAAGAGTAGTCTCTCCCCACTGAATGGTCTTAATACCCTTGTCAAATATCAGTTGACTCTGAATATGATGGCTTATTTGTGGATTCTGAATTCTCTTCCCTTGACCTACATGCTTATCTTTATGCCAGCACAATACTGTAGCTTTGTAGTAGGTTTTGAAATTGGGAAGTGTGAGTCCTCCAGCTTTCTTCTTTTTCAAGATTATTTTAGCCATTCAGGATCCCTTGCATTTCCATATGAATTTTAGAACCAGCTTGTCAATTTCTTCAGTAAACACAGCTCAGATTTTAATGGAGGTTGCATTGAATCTGTAGATTTGTGGAGTATTGCCATCTTAACAATGTTAAGTCTTCCAATTCATGAACATGGGATATTTTTGAATTTATTCTCTAAATTCACTTAAAATTTTCAGTATGTGTTACACTTTTGTTAAAGTTATTCCTAAATATCTTATTCTCTTTAATGCTACTGTCAATTAAATTGGTTTCTTAATTTTGCATTGTTCATTGTGTATAGAAATACAATTGATTTTTGTATGTTAATCCTACAACCTCGCTGAACCTTGTTTATTAGTTCTAAATTTCTGTGTGTGTAGCTTCCTTGGGATTTTTACATCCAGGATCATGTCATCTGCAAATAGAGGTGATTGTTCTTCTTCCTTTCCAATCTGGGTGCCTTTTATTCCTTTTTCTTGCCTACTTAGCCTCTCTAGAATTTCCAATACTATGTTGAATAAAAGTAATAACAGTGGCCATCCTTGTCTTGTTCCTGATCTTAAGGGGAAAGCTTTCAGTCTTTTATCATGATGCCAGTGGTGGGTTCTCTTGTAGATGCCTTTATTAGGTTAAGGAAGTTCCCTTTTATTCCTAGTTTGTTGAATTTTTTTTTTTTAATCATGGAAGGGTGCTGAATTTTGTCAAATGCTTTTCCTACATTTGCTGAGCTGATCAGGTGATTTTTCCTCTGTATTCTATTAATATGGTGTACTATATTGATTTTCATATGCATAAACATTCAATCAGATCTTAACTTCTGCCTAGCATTATCTGTCCTAAAATCATTCCATTAAGCTCCAATGTCTAAGAATCTTAAATTCAGTAATCATCATCAGAGTCCATTACTTTTTTTTCTGTTGAATTTAACTGTGGTTTTCTTTTTTGTTTGTTGACTTACTTTTCCAAGGATTTCAATTTAACTTTGTTCTGTTAACTTCCCACTTAGTTGTCCACATCTTGCCATCTGTATAAGGGTATTCTCTACTGCTTTAGTTTTTTCAGGCTTTACAAGGGCTAAGTTACTTAACGGGCCAGGGCTGACTGACCCAGAACTTGGGCTAAGATACTGTTTCTCATTTCTGCATCCCTGTGCTTTGCTTCCTGTTGTGCTGCATTATCAAGATCCCAGTGCTTAGCCTGCAGCTCGGCCACCTCTGCTTCAGCAGCGCCTCCAGCTCCTCCTCGGCCATGGTGCAGTGGTTGGGGTTGAGCAGCCACAGCCCTACTCACAACCATCTGTGTTATAATATTTTCCGCAGCTCCATGGCGCGAGCTAGGCCCTCCCCAGTCTTTCTACTTTTTTATTATATGCATTTATGGCTGCATATTTCCCTCTAAGCTCTGCTTTAGCTGTATCTTATCAGTTTTTTTATGTTGTTTTTGTTTCATTCATCTCAAAGAATTTTCTAGTTTCCCTTGTGATTTCTTCTTTGACCCACTGGTTATTTAGGGGTGTGTTAATTTCCACCCACTTGTGAATTTCCCAATTTTCTTCTAATATTGATTTCTAATTTCATCCCACTGGGTTGGAGAACATACTTTGCGTGA